TGGAATATATTAAAAAAGATTTTTGTTCATCAGAAGGGTGTGGGTGTGGGTGTGGGGCGTGGGTGTGGGTATGGGTGTGGGTGTGGGTATGGGTGTGGGTGTGGGTGTGGGTGATGATTTTCCATTCACCCACACATCCAAAACATCCATATTCACAACCAGCAACCTCACCCACACCCACACCCACGTCCGCATCCACATCCACAGCGACACCCACGCCCCACACCCACACCCACACCCTTCTGATGAACAAAAATCTTTTTTAATATATTCCATATAAAAATCCAAAAAATCATAAATCCAAAAATTATAAATAGTTGTTGTTATTTGCCTAAATCTATATTTATTAAAACCAATTTCACATTGTTCAATAGCATAACTTAATCGACTTAATGTCCATAAATCACATGGTTTTTCCATACCAGTAAGCTAAAAGAAAATTTTTTTTTTTTTTTCATTTTAAATATCTTCTTTATTACTGTAAATTCTGTTGGTGGTTGAAAACAATTTAGATCATTTATATCTAAATTTTTTGACATTGTAGATCGTATTATTTTCCAAAGTTGATAACAAAAAGTTCGAGCATCGTTAAGACTAAATTCATCCAAATTAATATACTGATCTAAATTAAATAAAAGAAATATATATAAAATATTTGAATCAATTTAAATAATCTTGAACAGCATTAGCACAACAAGCAAAACGTAATATATCAATTCCACATCCTGGAATATTATATGGATAATCTTCTTTTGAAATTTTGAATTGTTTTTGAAGTTTTTCTAATGATATATCATGAATAAGATTAGGTGAATGAATAACATTTCCTAAACTTTGTGACACTTTACGTTCACTTGCACCCTCAACCATTGGATGTAAATAAATTTGTGTAAATGGTAAACGATCAGTTAATTCTAATGATATCATTACCATACGTGCAGCCGAAAATAAAAGTATATCATGACCTGTTTCAAGTAATGTTGTTGGAAAAAAATTTTTAAAATCATCTGTTTCTGTTGGCCAATCAAATGATGAAAATGGAACAAGACTTGATGAAAACCATGTATCAAGTATATCTTCATCTTGTGTTAATTGTATTTTATCTTTTGATATATTAAATCTTTTTGAAGGTTTATCAAGTGCTTCATCATATGAATGTGCACTAACCCAATAATCATTATTGGTTTCATTACCAGCTGAAATATCATTTGAACTAATAAAATATGCTGGTATATGATGACCCTACCATAATTGTCTTAATATACACCAATCATGTATATCTTCTAACCATTTATACAAAACAGATTCAAATATAGTTGGTAAAATTTTTAATTCTCCAGATCGTACAGCATCGATTGAACGTTGTGCCATTGTTTTACAATTAACATATCATTGTGGTTTAATTAACGGTTCAATTATATCTTTACTATGACTACATATTGGTAATATCATTTCATTTTCTTTTGAATCATAATAAAGATCACGTTGTTTTAAATCATTTAATAATTGTTGTCGAACTTCAAAACGTGGGTTACCACTATATAGACCACATTCAGATGACATTAAGCCATCATCATTAATACATGTTATAAATTGTAATGATAAGCGTCGTCCATATTCAAAATCATTTTGATCATGTACTGGTGTTACTTTAACAGCACCAAAACCAAATGTTGGATCAACCGTTGTATCAGTTAATATTGGTAAACGACGTGAAACAAATGGATGTTGAACATATTTATCTTGTAAATGTTTATAACGTTGATCATCAGGATGAACAATAATAGCAGTACCACCAAGCATTGTTTCAAGACGTGTTGTTGCAACAATTATTTTTTCATCTATTAAAACAGCAAGAAAGCTTTTTTTTAATTTTTTTCTCAATATTATTACTTGAATTTTCAACTGGATACGCAAAATAAATTAAAACACCAAATTCAATTGGTTGTTCATAACCTGGAACATGAATTAATGTTCGACCTTTAATTTCAATTTTTTTGACCTAGAAAATCATCACAATTGTTTATTATTAATTTTATATAATTAATTATCTTACTTCAATTACTAATGTTTATTGAATTGAAATTTCATGGATTAATCAAATCCAACAACGATTATGAATTACCATCAGGACGAGATTTTCGTGGAGCTATTTGCTTCAAAACATCATGTATATTAAAAATCTGATTTTGCTTTGAAGATTTTTCATTTTTATTCTAATTTAGATGGAAGAATTAGATCAACTTGAACAAAAACAAGCAATCAAACAAAAAATTTCATCATATACAATTGGTGAAAGACGACAACACCAATAATGTATGTTTTTTTATCAATTATTTACGAGAAAATCATGAACATGAAATATTTAACTAATTAATGTAATTATAATAATAATAAAATTGAACAAATAGGAGTTATACAAACAAATAATAATCAACAATATTTAGCTGTTATTGTTAAATGACAAACAAATCTACACAAG